CCTCCCCTGGGATCTGGTCAAAGCTCTGCCAGAGGCGGGAGTTGAAGATCTCTCTGACAGGGGATTCTGCTAAACGTTCCCAACAGACCCTCACAATACGTTTGGGTCTGCCGAGTCTGTCCAGCTTCCTCCCCCGCCATCGGATCCAGCTCACCACCAGGTGGTGATCAGTTGACAGCTCCGCCCCTCTCTTCACCCGAGTGTCCAAGACATACGGCCGGAGGTCAGATGAAACAACCACAAAGTCGATCATCGACCTCCGGCCTAGGGTGTCCTGGTGCCATGTGCACTGATGGACACCCTTATGCTTGAACATGGTGTTCGTTATGGACAAACTGTGACTAGCACAGAAGTCCAATAACAAAACACCACTCGGGTTCAGATCGGGGGGGCCGTTCCTCCCAATCACACCCCTCCAGGTGCCTTGGGAGACCCTACCAGGAACATATAGCCCCCGACAACATAGCTCCTAGGATCACTCGGGTACTCAAACCCCTCCACCACAATAAGGTGGCGGTTCAAGGAGGGGGGAAACCAGGGATTATAATAATTGACAGGGATAGAATTATATGGTCAAAAATGTTAAGTTCATAAAGTATCCCACTGGCAGCATCACATGTACTGTAGTATAACTCCTCTTGGTCTAAAAAGGCTTCACATGTGCTGACTGTGGTTGCATGCAGCCTGTGAGCGTCCAAATGAAGCCACTGTGGACCTGCTGCTGCACTCTGGAGCTCAGGTGAATCTCTCCTGCAGTCAGGGTGGAAGTGCTCTTAATGAAGCCTGCAGACATGGACGACTGAAGCTCTGCAGGATGTTGCTGGAGGCTGGAGCCAATCTACACTCCAAAAACATCTACGGCATCCAACCTTTCTTCACTGCAGCACAGCATGGACACGCCAACCTCATCCACCTCCTCGCTAACAAAGGTCAGTCCTATACACAGATTATTTTCAGTGTGTGCCAGGATCTGATATTAAGGTGTTGTTTGGCTTTTCAGATGCAGATGTAAATGGACAGGCAGGAGATGGAGCGACACCACTGTATGAAGCCTGTAAGAATGGCCATGTTTCAACTGTGGAGGCACTGCTCTCTCTTAAAGCTGACACCAACTGCTCCATGAAGTCCGGCCTGCTGCCTCTTCATGTAGCTGTTAAGAACAATCATATACGGTCAGAACCTCTCAAAGTCTGAAACTGCCTGTCACTGCTGTATATCAACAGCTGTTCTGTGTTTCACAGCTAACACCTAACCCTTAGAGAGCTTAAAAGGAAGTCTGAGATCATAAACTTTAAATTACTTGTTGAGCTGGTGCCACAACACAGAAGAGTTTGCTTGGTGCTCAGTCACAATCAGCCTTACTCTGCTGTTGATATCAAGATACGCTGGTTTGAAGGCCACTACATGCTAACCCCTGTACACAGGAACACAGCTTAACCTCTCACACTAAGGTGGCATATTTGAAACCTATCCAAGCTTCAAACACTGCTTGAGGGTTTTTAGGTGGAGATATTCACCCAGTAGTCGACTACCTTGAACCTGTGAACAATTCTCCCAAAATAACAACAATCTGCACTTCTATGCAGCTCCCTCCTTATACCTACAGATGTTACTGTACTGAGAAAGTTTTAGAAGCCAATATACTTTGGCTCTTTGAGGAAGTGTTAAGTTTGGTCTGAAATAACCCATAAAAGCTGTGACATTGGCCTCGTATGACCATGATGTTAGTGCACAGTGTTTAGTTGACATTAGTTAACTTCCTAGGATTGGACACCCAGTTTGGTTTTTTTAATTACTTCACTCTTGAGAGGTTAATCGCATTTAAACTAATTGTGTGTTAGTTTGTGAAATAACTATCATATGCACCTTTAAATATCCCTTAATACAGTTTCTGCCACTCTACTATAGTTGATGTAATAATATAGATAACTCAAAAAGAGAATTTAAAAGTTTATAATCTTTATAGAGATCTAAAGACAGTTACAGCATAGCATGATGCAAAATATCAAAAATCAACAAATAAATAGTTTGATTCACTTACAGCTCTACAAATCAACAAAAGCTATTTCTAATCATGAATTAGAGGTTTCTAATTAAAATGATCCAAGTTGAGCTTTCCCATTACTGAATAAACATCAAAGAATCTCTCACATCACCAGTCATTAGTTGGTTTGAGTTGGTGGTTGTTGAATTTTGTTGAAAATCATAATTCCAGCAACAGTTCCCTCTATATAAGGACTCGTGCATTTCTTGCTGAAATGTGGAATCTTGCTGAACAGTTCAGGCATCCCTTGTTGCATCCCATCCTTGGTAGTGGCTCTATAGCGTCTTTCCAGCCCTTTGAGAGGCTGCTGTCTTCCTGGTCTGCCTCTCTGCTTTTCTCGGTCTTCTGGAACTCAGCAACTGCTGAATGTCCTTCTTGTTCCTTTTTGCTGTGGTTTTTAAGGGGTTTCTGTGAGTTAGGCTGCCTTCTCTTCTCCTCTCAGACTTCCCCATTTTACCACCCGTCACTGTCTCTGACTTTTGGACAGTTGTCAGTTGTATCTCTTGGTTCACTCATGGTCCACACCCAGGTGGTGCCTGCAACCACCAACTGTCACCACAACTCAATTTTATTCTTTGATCGCTTAAACATTTTATTTTAATTACAAAACCGATTTTACATTTGTTTTATCATCAAATCAAACTCAGTCTTCCAGTGAAATCACTCTTATGTTTATCTTCATTATCAGACATTTCATTACTATTTATTAAACAATTAAACAAACCATACTAAACAAATCCTGTCTATAATCATCTTTACTCATTGATTATTTCAATTGCCTACTTTATGCCCTTAGCTATCATATCTTAATCACTTTTCAAGGTGCATTTTCCTCTGGATCAAGCAACACATTTCTGTCTTCTTGTCACCTTTTTTATTATTTCCTCATTCTCTGCGTCCTTGAATAGTGGGCATTCCAATATCCCCTGAAGATACTCTTGTTGTTCCTTTGTGACTTATATTTGCAAAGAGACAATTTGTCTTATGGCTTTCTGCAGCTTTTCCTGTAGGGTTCAGCCACTGGGTCCCCAAGGCCAGTGCTGTCTCAGTGATCTCTGACTCTTCATTGCCACCTGTTTTGGCTTCTTCCAGACTCTCTCTGGGACCTGTTTTTACAGCCTCGCTGACACACAATAAACAAAACTTTGTTTTTCCAGAATTGTGTCAATGCTGATCCCAGTCACCAGCAGGGTCAGAGTCCGGCAGAGCGGCATCAGTCCTGTGCATATTGCTGCAGAGAGGAACAGGGATGATATCTTGGAGCTGCTGATTGAGTCTGGCTTCGACGTCAACGCAGAGCTGTCAGAGGAATACTCAAAGATGTATAAGGACCGGCGGAGCACAGCACTCTACTTCTCTGTCTACAATGGGAACCTGGAGGCCACTGAGATGCTTCTGGAAGCCGGAGCTAACCCCAACCTGGACGTCTTCAACCCACTGCTCATTGCCGTCCGATTCGGCTGGATGGACATGGCGACACTGCTGCTGAGGTACGGTGCCAACGCCAACACTCAAATCTCCATGCAGCCATCCTCGTTCCCATCCGCCATCCTGCTCAGCATGGAGTCTCCGCTCATGCTCAAACTGCTGCTGGACAACGGCTGTGATGCCCGACCCTGCTTTGACTGTATGTACAGCCAAAAACCACATCTGGCCATCACACAGTCACGACGACTGGTTGAAGAAATGCAGCTCAGCAGAGATACACCACCACAGTGCTGCCTTCAGGTGAGTCCAGGAATGTAACATACAAATAAATGGATGTGTGTGTTACATAAAGGTGTCCTCTGTCCTCTCAGTGTGTGATCTATCCTGTTTTAGTTCTGTGAGGCTGTCTCCTGCTTGTCTTTGTGGCAAAACACTGGCTCGATCATCTCGGTGCTGTTGGACTACGTCAGCCATGTCCATCTCTGCTCTCGCCTGCTGGAGGTTCTGGAGAGTCGCAGCGACTGGGCGCTGATTAAACTGAAAGCTCGTAAGGAACAAAATCATCAATGATGCGTCAGACAGGTGACAGTTGTCATAGCAATAGTAGCTATGAATGAGCAGGCCTTAAAGGTCTCTTCTATCAGCTCTTGAATCCTGTATCATGCTGTACTGCAAAATAAATGGAGGGTTTCTTGATTATAAGTTCCTATAACAGCCATGAGTTCCTGAAAAGATCTTTGAAATCATACAATAGGTTTCTGATCCCCAGCAAAGGTTTTCTGAGGTTCCCATAGCTCATAAAAAACTTCTATTCATAAAAAGGTTTCAGTTTTTCAGAAACCCCCAAAGATACTAAAACTGTTCCTCAGTTCCAAGAAAAGGTCCTTGTAGTTTCTATAAAGGTTTGTGTTCTGAAAAAGGTATCTGAGTTTATAGATTCCTAGAAACAAACACTGAGTTCCTACAAAAGTTCTGTCCTTTGTCTGTTTCTGCTTCAGTTCCTCCTCATCCTTTGATGCAGCTTTGCAGGCTGAAGATCAGACAGCTGGTCGGAGTCCAACGACTTAAACTCCTCTGCATTTTACCGCTTCCTGCCAGACTCATCCGCTTCCTGCACTATGATGTTGACTGCTCACTCACCTGAAGACACCCTAATACGCCTGAAGACACCTGGGGTAAATCCCAGTTCTTATTTTATTGTTCCGGTCCACCATCCTGAAGGATGTCCCAAAGCTCTTATTCCTGCTCTGAGGAGTGAGGAGGCTGCTAGAGGAACCATGAGTGAGGATACATGAGAGCATCCTCTGTGGAAGTCCTTTATCAACCGGCATGCCCCTTTATCAGAAATCAGTTGGTGATTGGACACCTCAGATGAAGGATCAGAGGAAAGCACATCTCATGTCTGTTTGCTCCAGTCCTCTTTCCTCACATCTTACATGGGCAGGACTAAGAAGCAAGGAAGAAATGCAAGTGATGTAAACATGGATCCTAGTAATAGAATTATGATTTATCCAATTGAAACTTCTGAAGACTCCTGATACATTTGAAGCCACCTGGGGCCTGTTTTTCTAATGTGGCTTAACAATTTCAGTCTAACATGCTCATTTCAGGCTAAAAAATGATGTTATTAGTGTTGAATGGGAAAATTTAAATAAAGTGTTGTTAGATATTTTTAGTCAGATAGATATTGGATAGATACTTTATGTATTAGAAATGTTTAGTGGAGATAGGATGTCTAGTTAGACTGTTAAATGCTTAGTCATGCTTATGAGATTCTATAGGGTACATCTGGTCAAGGATAACTAGAGAGAAGAGTTGATGACTGTCAGCAGACAGGGTGTTTAATATTATTATTATGACGTGTATAACTGTAGCCTTAGCCATAATATGTTCTTATGTTTAAGTCACGACATGTTACTAGAGGTCGTGAGAATGTTTTTAGCTACACACCACTTAACCAACAGACACACACA